GTATGGCAGAAAGTGAGGTCAGATGGGAGAGGCAGGAGAGACGCTCAGAAGGCTTTAGGAAGGGACGTGTCCAGGGCAGGGTGGGGGTGCTTTGATGAACTACATATTGTCGCTGGAGATTTTGGGGTCCCCCACAGACAGATGGCCCCAACTCCTGTTCCTTAGCCCCAAGAAGAACTTAGAGTTTTCATCTATAGCAGCCGCAACCGTGATGTTCTTGGGCTCTCTTTAAAATGCATGCTAGTATATTAAAGGCTCTGACAAGTCCTGCAGGACAGAGCCTGTTTAATTTCCACTCAGCACACTCCAAACACATTTGGCCTACAAGAACCCTTTCCTTGCAGTACACCTTGTGCAACGCATATTCCAAAGAACACCATTAGGAAATGCTGCTGTAGGGGAAAGGGCATGGGTTTGCTGTAGGGGATGCAACAGGCCATGGTTCGATTCCTGCTCTGTGACCTAGTTAGTGTTGGAGGTTGGCCAAGTCACTTTGCTTCCTAGAGTCTCCTTTTCCTCAGAGTCGTTGTGAGAAGTAGGAAAAATATGTGGGTAAGTTGCATGTGGTTACCTCTCTGGTTTTGCTGTGTGCCCCTCCTGTGCCAGGCCAGGCCCTTCCCCTGAGCAGGGTCCCTACATTACAGGCTGCATGTTGAGCCCTGGAGAGGTGGTTAGGTAAGGGGCTAGGTAGAACTTTGATTGGATTTCCCCTGTGGTACCCTCGTTGGCCTTGGCACAATGGACAACAGAAACACCCAGATGTACATGGAGGATACGATCAAGTCTCCAGGGGCCCAGCCAAGTCCTGGCCTGAGGACTGCCAGAAAGAGTGCTGGTGTTGAGCCTGCCATATCAGGAGTCAACCAGGTAAGGACCTGTATCTCATGTTCTGGCCACTCTCCTCCCAAGGACACCTTTCCCCTTCCCTGCCCCGGCTTCCTCCTGCAACTGCTTCAATTAAGACCCAGTTATAAGTGACACGAAACCCAATTCAAATGGGAGTAGGCAGGAAGGAGAACACATCCACTTGGGTAACTGACAAATCCATCAGTGGACTTCAGGTATGGCTGGATCAAGGTGCCGAACAAGTGTCTCTAGGCGCTGCCTTCCTCTGTACCATTCCCAGGCAGGCTCTCCCTGCAAGATGGCAAGTATTGCCCTGGCCACTCCAGGCGTACATCTTCCTCGCTTACGCCTTCTGACTTTAGCATCCCCAGCAGGAGGAGAGCCTCTGCAAGGGTTCAGGGAAGTCTGGCATCACTGCCGTTGGCCCAGATTATGTTCACATGCTTATTTCAGAACCAGCCACCATGGCAGGCAGAGTGGCCTGGATCTCCTGGCATAATGGAGCCAGAGGTCCACTGAGCCCCACTGACAGAATAGAGAAGGAAAGATTCCCATAAAAAGGATGCTGGCTTCTGTTGCCAGAGAGATGCTGCAGGAGCAAACCAAGAATTGTTTATTCTACTAGGTGCCTCCAGCTCCCCTTGTAACCTTTATTCCCCTGGCAACTGCTGGAGGTTTCCATCCGGGCCCCTCCCCAGCCCCCAGCCTGCGTCCTAAGCCTTCAACGCACTCCACAGCCTCCTTCCATCAATTTCTTTAGTGTCAAGTGGCACAAACTGAGAGCACAGAGAAGACTCGCCTTCCTATCTAGTTTCCCCAGAGCCCAAAATGTCACCATAAAAAAGGTCAACATTCCCTTGGGTGAAGTATTGCCCCCTCTCTGTAGCCCCTGATATAAATCATGGCTTCTTTTGGGGGCAGGAGAGGGCCTGAGAGAGCCTAGAAGGGAGGCTGGGGCAAACGTTCAGGGCTTCCTTCACCCCCCAATTCATTTTTCCCCCCCATTCATTTTTACAACAGCATAGTCATGGGGTCCAGCTCCCCTACTCAACCAGCCGCGTGACCTTGGGCATGGCACTGCACCCCTTTGAGCCCCACTGTTCATATGTGTCATGGTGAGGACCAACTGGGTGACATCCCTGGGTACCTGGCACAGGCCCTGCCTTCCGGTAGGCGCCCTTAGTGTTGGCTCACATCAGAATCTTACGTCACTTATCATCAAGTGATGGATGAGCTGGGGTGTCTGGATTTTGCTGACTCAAGTGGGGCTTGGAGCTGGCTCTATGTCACTGGCTCAAGGTCACCCAGCTAGGAGTGATAGACCAAGAGGGACATCACAGCCCAGTTTCAGAGCCTGAGCTCTGAAATGGTGGAAACTGTGGAAGCCTCGCTGGGACCTCTTGAGGGTCCTCAAGTCCCCCGGGTGCTCTGTCAAGCCTTCCTGGGCAGGAGACCCTCGGCTCAGGTACTACTCAGGACCCCAGGTTTATGTCAGAGCCGAGTACAGAACAACGGCCGCTCAGCTCGGCTGGCTCTGCACCCAGCCTCTCTCCCTGCCTCTTGTCTCTGCCCTTCCTCTCTCCAACACACTCCCCAGGCAGGCACAGAACCTCCCTGTCCCCGAGGCCAGGAGGACGCCCGGGGAGTGGGAGGTATCCCTCCAGAATGGGTGCTCACAAGAGCATCTTTGTTCCAGGTCGTGTTTCCAGATGCTGCAGGGATGGGCAGTGGGAGGGAGCCCTCGCCGGCCCCAGAAACGCCCGAGAAGCGGCCCGGACACAGAGAAGCGTCAGAGGAGGGGCCGCCGGAGCTCAGGGCCCAGGAGCAGAGTCACCTGGCAGACCTAGGGTGAGCTGGGGGCTTCCCAGAGAGCAGGCCCAGGAGAGAATGCCCTGTGCCCCACGGGGGGGGGGAGGGGGGGGGAGAGGAAGGGGGGAGCACGGAGAGGGAGGAGGGAGTACTCCCAGACCAACGTGGACCCTCCCAGTCACAGCGCCTGAACTGGTTCTTCGCACAAATCACACTAAATAAGGGTGTCAGCCGTTGTCTGGGCTCCCCTGCTGGGCCACACGCTTCTGTTCTGTTCCGCCTCAAATTCCTCAGGCCTGGGGTTGTGCCTGGTGCATAGTAGATGCTCAATAAATATGTATTCACTGAATTAATTTTTTCAAAAGCGAACAAAAGAGAGGCTGAGAGACAAGGAAACATACGTTTACATGGAATTATTGTTTTCTAAATGTTGGATATATGTTTTAAACTTGTCTGCAGTGAGAATGTATTCTTTCCAAAAAAGAGCAAGTCAAGAGGGAGCCAGAGAAAGGCAAAGTGAAAAGACTTGGGAAACAGTAATAGTGAAGCCTGGTTAGCTTGTTTAAGTTTGATTATAACCAAAAACCTCTAAGTAATCTCTTCTCCATGAAAAGTTAAGGGACTCCATCAAAGCCAGGTTTGAGTCCCTGGAGACATGTGCTGCATACCATGCTGGTGGAAATATAAGCTGTTTCTACTGGAACAACTGGGCAATTTGTTTAAACTGACTTCTAGCCCTAGCCAGTTTGGCTCAGTGGATAGAGCATCCCTCACAAGGTCCAATGGGTCCTGGGTTTGATTCCAGTCAAGGGCACGTACCTTGGTTGCAGGCTCCTCCCTGGCCTGAGCCCTGGTTGAGGCATGTGCAGAAGGCAATCAATGGATATGTTTCTCTCACATCGATGTTTCTCTGTCTTTCCCTTTCTCTTCCACTCTCCCTAAAAATCGATGGGAAAATATCCTTGGGTGAGGATTAACAAAAAATAAGTAAACTGACTTCTAACTACCTTTCACCCATTTCCAGAAATATGCCCTAAGGAAATCACTGGAGAGTCAGGCAAAGTTTTATGCAGAAAAATGTTCACTGTCACATTTTTTTAAACACTAAAAGATTGGAACTGCCCATGTGCCCTAAGTGCCCAAATAGAGAAACAGTTAAGTAAATTATGATTCTCTAGAAAATCTATATATATAAAAGGCTAATATGCAAAGTGCCCCCCAGGAGTTTGACCAGGAGACCAGAAGTTTGATCACTTGCTATGACATGCTCTGACCACCAGGGGACAGTGCAGAATGAAGGAAGGCCCGGCCAGCACCTGGCAGCCAGAAGGAAGATTCTGGCCAGCAGCCGGAAGGCCCCGATTGGCCCTGATCGCTGGCCAGGCCTCGGGACCCTACCCATGCATGAAATTTCGTGCACCAGGCCTCTAGTATGTTTATAAAAGACTTTTTATTAAAAAGCATGTTTATAAAAGACTTTTGTCATGGGAAAAATTTAGGCTATACTGTTAAATGAAAAACTGTAGATGCAGTAGAATTTTAACCATGTGAAATGATGCAATTACTTGCAGAGGGTAATTAATTAAATCCTCATTACCAATATGTGTGTATGTCCACAGGAAGAAGCTGGGGGAACTGCTCTAGAGTATTCGAGGGACACCCATAGACACCGATTCAAACCCCGAGCTGTCACCTTGAGCTCTTTGACCCAAGGCTCGAGTCTCTCAACCTCTCTGAATTCCAGTTGCCTTTAATTTTTCTTAAAAAGAATAAATAATAAGAATAGTAAATCCTGCCCTAACCGGTTTGGCTCAGTGGATAGAGCGTCGGCCTGCGGACTCAAGGGTCCCAGGTTCGATTCCGGTCAAGGGCATATACCTTGGTTGCGGGCACATCCCCAGTGGGGAGTGTGCAGGAGGCAGCTGATCGATGTTTCTCTCTCGTCAATATTTCTGGCTCTCTATCCCTCTCCCTTCCTCTCTGTAAAAAATCAATAAAATATATTAAAAAAAAAAAGAATAGTAAGTCCTAACTCAGTGATGGCGAACCTTTTGAGCTCGGCGTGTCAGCATTTTGAAAAACCCTAACTTAACTCTGGTGCCGTGTCACATATAGAAATTTTTTGATATTTGCAACCATAGTAAAACAAAGACTTATATTTTTGATATTTATTTTATATATTTAAATGCCATTTAACAAAGAAAAATCTACCAAAAAAATGAGTTTGCGTGTCACCTCTGACACCCGTGTCACCTCTGACACGTGTGTCATAGGTTCGCCATCACTGTCCTAACTCCCTTAAACATTGACATCAAAGTGTTTATGATTTGGGGAATTCATGTCAGTCCTTCATCCATTCTCCCAGGCATTAAGTATGCACCCCTGCTGTGCCTGTCCTGCATCAGTGCTCTGGGAACTACAAAGAAGTAGCTATATATATAAAAGCCTAGGCGACCATTCGACCGGCTGACCGGCTGACCGTTTGACCGGCTGACTGGTAGCTATGACACGCACTGACCACCAGGGGGCAGATGCTCAACGCAGGAGCTGCCAAGCTGCGGTGACTTGGCAGTTATGGTTCTTGGGTGACACACCCCGGAATCGGGCCCCCTCTTCTCTGGTTCCAGGTGTGTCACCCGAGAACCACCCTCTTGCAATCTGGGACCCCTCAGGAGATGTCGGACTGCCGGTTTCCGCCCGATCCCCGCAGGCCAGGCCAAGGGACCCCACCTGCCAGAGGGACCCTGCTCACTTTGCAGATGCCCTTTGAACTCTGGCGCCACCCCAGATGCAGGCCTGCCAGGAGAGACCGCGGGAGGTTGGCCCCAGGGCGTGTCCGGCCTGTCTCGCCCACGAATCTTCCAGTGAGAATGTAAAACTATGCCCTAGTCCAGGAGCTGATAAGTCCCTTTGTTCTCCCAGGAAGAAGCTGCCATCTTTGGCCCCCGAGGAACGGCCCGAGGAGCTGCAAGTAGACCAGGATCAGGCCAAGCCAGGAAGTGAGCTGGGGGTGCTGCCTTCCAGGGTCTCCCCAGCACCTGAAGGGCTGCAGCAGCAGGGCTCAGGGCAGGAGACCAAGGACCTGCAGGGGAGACAGCAGAACCCCGGGACAGTGAAGGGTCAGGCCCCCAAGAGGTGCCAGGTAATGTTTGTGGAGAACTGGACAGGAAGGCAGGGAATGACTGACCCACAGGGACGCGAAGGGGCCCCCCACGCCCCACTGGTGCATTGTGTCTGCTCCTCTCTGTGCCGCGGAGATGCCCAGCACACAGTCTGTGTGGGTCATTGGGACATTCCATTGGCCTTGATTGTCCATAGCAAGCCTTTAAGACTTGTTTCCAGGGTGGCCTGTGGTATGTCAGTGGGTGCCTGAGGCAGGAAGCAGGTAAGCGGGGCTCTGCATACAATTAACATGGGGACATGCTGGGTTCAACGAAGCTCCAACAGGTTTCTTTACGCCAGGAAATCCTAGAAGCTGTGTCTTAGCTTGTGGGACCTGGTGAGAGATGGTTAGGGTACGGTGAGTTGATTTTTGTAAACAGTGCGAGTGTTGGACCGAGGCTCGTTTTTGGCACATGGCTATGCAATCATTCCAGCACCGTTTGCTGAGGACTGCCCTTCTCTGCTGAATTTTCACCTTTGTCGAAAATCGGCCCGGATGGGGCTCCCCATTTTGCTGTCCTTGTCATCAGCCCACCCCAGGTCACCAGGCAGAAAATGGGTCAGATATAGTGCAGACAACAGAGCCTTCTTGCACCTTGGACTGTTGTGGACAGTACTTGGAAGACAAGCCCCTCAAGGAGGCAGGCACCCCACACATTAGGCCACAGGGGACCCTGCCAGAGCCTGGCCCAGGGGGAGACAAAGACGGTTCTCAGGAAGCAATGCCCCGAATGCCCACAACTCCGGAGAAGACGGGCAACTCCTTCCCGCCATCCACGCCAGGACCTAACACACCCAGAGAAGGGTAAGCCATCCCCTGATGCCACCCCACCCACTCCCTGATCCAGCAAGATGGCTCTTCTGCTGCGTTCCAGGTGAGGTGAATTCTTGTCCTGGCTGCTCCTGACCTGGTGGAGGGCCTGGGGCAGGTCATGGCTCTCTGGGTCTCAATGTCCCCATCTGTACAATGGTTCTAACACTAACATTGTTTGTTCTGTGGGCCTGCACTTTTATGGGCATGCCCACGGGGGTGTGTGAAAGAATGGGGAACCCCTCTGAGATGAAAAGGCCAGGGGGGTGATGCTGGGATGGTGGACCTGAGGGTCCTGGGGGCTGCGAGAAGGGGGTGCAAGGGCCATGCCTTAAACTGAGCCCCTCCCCCACTGGGGTTTCTCCCTTGTTTAGGGTCAAGGCTGCGGAGACCAAGCCAGCACCGGGGCCTGTTCCTCCACCAGTAAGTAGAGCCAGAGTGGGGATGGGGAGAGGTGGAGGGGGATGGGGAGAGGTGGAGGGGGAGAGGGGGAGGGGGATGGGGAGAGGTGGAGGGGCTCCTGAGGAGGAGCGGGGCAGAGGCAGAAATGGGACAGTATTTGGAGTCAAACTGGGGAAGGTGTGTGCCTGTGTGAGTGTGCACATGCATGTGCATGCGTGTACATGTGTGTTTGCACATCTGTATATGTGTGCATCTTGGGTGGGGGGTCAAGGATGCTCTTACACCCTGGAGCCCTTGTGTTCACCCCAGGTCGTGTTGCGGCTTTTCCCACACCGGCATAGATTTCTTCTCACCCATTTGCTCTCGACCACAGCATACAATCCAAAGCTTCCCTGAACATCTGGGGGCTCCCACTCCCCTCCCAGCACCCCCTCTCCACCAGCTCTGCCACTTCTGGGCAGCCTGTGAATGCACAGTCCTCACCTGCCCCTGCCTCTTTCTGCTCTAGTCACTGGACAACCCCCAACCCTGGCTAAACCAGCCACCCACTTACCCTCTGCCTGCACATGAGCAGCTCAACACGGCTGGAGGAAAGCCCTGCCTTGTGGATGGGCTTCACTCTCCAGCAATGACCACTAATGTGGGAAGCTCCTGGCAGTCCTCTGCTGTCCTTGGCCATGCCACCCTCCCCCTCCGCCCCAGGATGTCATTTCACAACAGCACTCTTCTCACCATGCGTCTGGGCCGGTGATCTGACCTCATGTGTCATTGAAAGGGGAGAAGCATCAGAGGAGAAAACTGGGATAGTAGCTGGAAGGTTTGTGGTGTCAGGAGACTATTTTTCTCTTAAAGAAGGAAGATAGCCCTGGCCGGTTTGGCTCAGTGGCTAGAGCTTCAGCCTATGGACTGAAGGGTCCCGGGTTCGATTCCTGGTCAGGGCACATGCCTGGGTTACAGGCTTGATCCCCAGTAGGGGGCGTGCAGGAGGCAGCTGATCAATGATTCTCTCTCATCATTGATGTTTCTATCTCTTTCTCCCTCTCCCTTCCTCTCTGAAATCAATAAAATATATTTTTTTAAGAAGAAGGAAGATACTATGGCATGCTTACAGGCTGATGGGAGCAATCTGGTGGCGAAGTAGAGCTGATGCTTTAGAAAAAGAGGGTGTGTGGCAAGAGCTGCATCTTTGAGAGCAAAGACTGGGCTGGAGTCTGCAGGGCACGGCCTGGTTGGAGATGGGCTTG